AGTCACTCACTGCTGCTGAAGAGACAATAAATTATTAGCTACTTGGTCACAGTTGTTCGTTGCTGCTCTGATTGGTTCTATGACAGTCACCATTTTCAGGAATCCTAGAAAGTCACACCCTGTTGAACAGCTGAAGGAAGTCCTGGGAAACCTTATTTTGCAACAAAAGTGACTAAAAATCTGACAGTTCTCCCCTGCATTGTATTTTCCAAGGGAACATCATAGCCAGGGTCTGGAATGCACATGCTGTCCTGGGCTCAGCAGGCTTTTAATGGCTAATGTATTTCCTGAAGCTGTACAAAGTGTCATCTGACATATCTATATTCCACAGGGATCTTTTTTTCCCAGTAACTGGATGTAAGTGATAGGCTGCAGTCAGCTGTGCCTCTTGGAAAGCAGATGCCTTGGCTGAGAAGTCTCAGGGCCTTCTGTACATTGAAGGGGAACAGAAAACCTGTAGCTATGGCAGAGGTGTTTGCCATTAGGAGGTTAATTAGGCATTAACAATTGATGGCCAGCACACATTTTCTGGGGATTAATGACCATCTGGGAGAAACTAATGGCCTAGGAAAGCCTTCTCCTTTCTCAAGGTCATGAGTATAGCTGCAGGGTATGGCTGGACCAGGGTCCAAATGCTCCAAAGGGCCCCTCTGACTCCTGGGGAGTTTGTGTCCAGCTCTGCAGCTCCTGGTGTGCAGCTGCTGATCCCCAGGTGCTGCTGAGAAGGTTTCAGAAGCATTTAGAGGTCATTGCTTGAACAAGGGGTAACAGACCAGGTATGTTTTAATCTGTCCAGTTTATAATGTCCATCAGTTAATTTGTGTTACAACAATGGGTTTAATCTCAAGCTCATTAGCAGCTGTTTTGCTGGTGTCACTTCCCAAATGTGCCAGTTCCATGGTGTCTCAGAGTGCTGCCTGACTTGCCACCACCAAGAGCTGTTTCACAAAAAGAGTGGGAATTGCAGGATAACCCACCCAAATGGGCAGATTTTCTTGCTTTGGTATGAAATTGGAAGGTTTATATTTTCAATACTTTCTATACACACACTTTGTATATCTACACTCAGGTACACTTCATATATACAGATACATACATGTACACAGAAAGAGGAGGAGAGAAGTGATGTGATGACAATGAGATTCACAGAGGTCTGGATCACTCTGTACCTTACAAAATGGTCAGATTATATGATCATATCTCTGCAGCTTCCCAAGGGAGTTGATGCACCATGGCTCTGTGCTTTCAAACAGGCCTGACAGTTGCAAACTTCTTCCTAGGTCCTTGTCTTATGTTGAAATCTGAACCAAGGAAAACCAAATTTTACCACCTCCTTTCTGAAGGTGGTATTTCTTCTTACTCCCTCATGAACATATTTCTCATCTTGCCTAGAAATCATTTGGCCTCTCCATCTCTGGAAATCTACTGTACATTTGGCAGTAGGAAGCAAAAGGTTTCATGAGACTAATTAAGCTAAGGCCCAGGTCTTTTCCTGTGTGTCTCCTGGAATAAAAACACGTGCATGTCAGTCCTGTCCTTCCAACCTACACTGAGAACTGTTCAGATGGAAGCTGTCTGCCACCAAGTGCCTGGTTAACATAGCTCTGGATCTCTTCCATTCAGGTTTATGTGATTCTGTGTGTCCATTCTTAGCCCTTGGCTGAGTTATGTGACAGGACCTCTGCTCCAGCTTACAGACACATGGTACAATGCTGCTGATGTTTTCCCTCTGGTCCCGAGCTCCTCAGCTTCATCAGGGTGACCCCAAAAAGTTCTGGAGGTGCTTATGTGGGCAGAAGAGTTCCCTCAGCTGCCTTTCCTGTTCTGCTGGAGATCAGGACCCTTTCCCCCAACCCCCCCTTTCTCTAATAAAATTAGCTGAAATGAACAGTGCTCAGGCTTTACAGCTGCCTCTGTTCACCACTTGCCACAGAATCAGTTCATCCCAGCAGGACTCTCCAGAGATTACCTGAAATCCCTTCTTAATGGACTACTTTAGGTGCCTCAATTGCTTCCAGTTAGGCAATTTTCTAAGTTTTTTTTTTTTTTTTTTTTTTTTTTTTTTTTTTTTTTTTTTTTTTTTTTTTTTTTTTTTTTTTTTTTTTTTTAAATCAGATTGTGTTTTTTTATTGTGCAGGATTTTTTTTTCTTTGGGTGTTTTATTATTATTATTATTTAATTCCTTTGCCCTTTATCTTCTATTTTGTCATCCAGAATTATATTTTAGAAGTGTTTCACCTTGTCCTCCCTGCAGGCAGGGCCACTCTTGGGCACTGCCATCCACACTGCACAGACCACTCCTGAACCACTAAGAAGTCCTGAACTTGGACTAAGAAACCTGACAGTTGCCAAGAGGGTGACAACACCACCCATGAACCCTGTAGCTCCTGCCAAAAACTACATGTGTAGATTGAACTCCTAACTTGGAGTGTTGTGTCCAGTTCTGGGCTCCCCAGTTCCAGAGGGACAGGGATCTACTGGAGAGAGTCCAAGGGAGGCTATGAGGATGATGAAGGGACTGGAACACCTGCCTGATGAGGAAAGGCTGAGAGACCTGAGGCTGTTCAGTCTGGAGAGGAGAAGACTGAGGGGGGATCTAATTCATGTCTATAAATACATGAGGGCAGCAAGAAGGCAAGACAAGCTCTTGTCACTTGTGCCCTGTGACAGGATGAGGGGCAATGGATTCAAACTGGAGCACAGGAAGTTCCACCTCAACATGAGGAAGAACTTCTTTCCTGAGAGGGTGACAGAGCCCTGGGACAGGCTGCCCAGAGAGGCTGTGGAGTCTCTTTCTCTGGAGCCTTTCCAGACCTGTCTGGATGCCTTTCTGAGTGACCTGCCCTAGATTTGGTCCTGCTCTGGCAGGGGGGGTTGGACTTGATGATCTTCAGAGGTCCCTTCCAACCCCTGACATTCTGTGATTCTGTGATTCCTTTCTCTCTCCTTGTGGTTAAAGCACCCACCAGCAGGTACAGCCATGACAGACCAAACTGCCACACTCTGGCTCCTCTGGCTGGTTGGACTCAGTGGGAGAAGAAGGAAACTGATCCTCAGCAGCACAGCACTGGCTCCAGAGCAGCCCTGCTGCTACCTCGGGGCATGGAACGAAGCAATTCAAGCCCTGATTTGAGCTTTGTTCAGTCAGTTTTTATCAAGCTGAGCAGACCTAATTGATGTTTTTCTAAGCAGGAGTATCCAAGACAGTAATTGCAGGTGACCCATCACTACTAACTCGATGGCCTTAACCCTTGCTGGACTTGCTTGAACCTGATTAACCACATGAGCTTGAATATAAATCTTACATTTATTTTTGTTGGAAATGCAGAGCTGATCTTTAAGCACCACTGGTCCTTCCAGGGTTTTTTGCAAGTTTTACAGGGACTCACAAAGAGGAGCAGCCTTTTATGATGCCCAGGGGCCCTTTGACAACCTTCTTCTCTGTCTGCTGTGTTGTGCTCATTACATTTTGATGAGGTTAGTGATTCAGGAACTGAGGTGAAAGGGAAGTAGCAGTGGTTTAACTGCACAGTGCAGATGATCCTCTCTTTTTAATGACCACATGGCATACAGCTCTATCCAGCTGGGCACAGGTCCTGTTCAAAGGCCTGCATGGAGAGCAAAACAGTCACCCCTGCTATGGAGCATGAAAATGGCCATCCATTGCATTTGTTGGGTTGATTAATTAAAGGACTCGATAGGAGGCTGCACCCCATGGAGAGCCAGAGCTGGAGCAGGTCTTCTGGCATGACCCATGATCTTTCCATGTCCTGCTTTCCTTTCTCTCCATTGTGCAGCTGAGGAGGGAGAATGATGGAGCAGAATGGTGGACACCTGGCCAAGTCCAGCCAAGGACAATTTGTCACACTGCCCTTCTGGGCAGCATGTCATTCAAAGACAGAGTCCCCCAGAGCCTCAGAACGGCTCTTCAATGGTTGCCAGGCACACTGGGAGGGTGACTGTCCTTCCCTCCAGGTCTTGCAGGACGGGAGTCATGAGATCCTGATCCAAAACCATCTGGGCCAGAGGGTGAGCTCAGCACTGGAGATGGGATGGCTTTGCACCTGCTCAGAAGGCCTGCATGCATCAGATGACTGGAGATGTCACTCAGGTTCTCTCTTCCTCTCCTCTCCCCAGCAAAACATCTCCATCCCCAGCAAAAACCTGCTCCATCTCCTGTCCCACCCAGCAGCCCCTGCTGGTCTGGCCCCAGGCTGCCTGTTTTGCCAGGGACAGACACAGACCTCAGAGGTACCAAGGTGTGGGAGGGGTTGGCTGAGGACTTGCTTCTCCTGATGTGCCAGGGGAGATCGACTAGTGCCCATGAAAAGGGAGAGTCTTCCTGACCACAGTGTGAAGTCTCTGGAGGGTTTCCTGGGGGCACCTCATGAGGGGTAAGGCAGGTGAGAGCCACGGGAGCCACAAGCAGCTGTGAAGTTTGCAGCTGTTTTAACGCAGGGGTTTTGCAGAGGGGTCAGGGAGCAGAGATGAGATCCGAGCAGGTGGTGAGGGAGCTCACTGCTGGCTGGGTGGCCTCAAATGATTAACTCCTGAGCCTGCTGTGTATTCTCCTCACCTTTCCTGCAAGGGGGGTGGGCACTGAAAGCCACGCCTGGCACCAAGGAGTCCACCCCTGCCCTGCTGTGGCTGCTG